GGGTTGGCTGGAGGGGGAGGCGGACGGGGTCCCGCGGCGGGTGTCGGGGGAGGGGGGGGGTGTTGCTCCTGGGTCCCTAACGCCGTCTGGCCCCTCTCTTACTGGCAACGTCGTTCTCTGTGTATCTGTAAGGTGCTCCTACTGGTAAAGACCTGACGTCTGCACCACGAAAGCCACCCAGTTTGGTCTTTCTTGAAGGTCTGTGCAAAACTGGTGAATGGGCATAGGCACTGCAGTCGCAGGGGATAACCCTGGTGTAATCCTCACAGTTACTGGTGGCTTGTACAAATGCTGCCTCTTTGATAAAGATAGAAGGCTGCAGTTCTGCTAGTTACCTTTTTGTTCTTTTGTAATTAGTGAAATGTTTAATTCGGTGAGTTATAAAGTGCTACTCTGAAATTCTGTTGTGTAAGACTACAGAAGGAGTTAGGACAGGTACAACTTTTCTGTATTTAATCTTTCTGGACAACAGATCTGCTCGTCTCTTCAGCAGATCTCTTGTCTCTTTGATACGCAGCCATCTCACCCTTTAAGAACAAGAGAGAAAATTAAAAAAGGATTTGTTTTCCCCTTCAAAACTTCCTTCCGTGCTTTGCCAGGGGAATTAAAGCAATGTCTTCTCTTTTGTTTTTAAGTCATTACATGGCATATCTGCTTAATTAGCTAAATAAAAACATCCAACTCAGAGCCTCAGGGAAGATGTGTGAATAACGTACTGAACCTCAAAAGCTTCTCTAGTAGATAATGTACGTACACATACAAATCCTTTTTTACATATGTATCTGATAAGATTCAATACTAGTTGAATATAAGCATTAAAACTGCTATACCACGTTAGAAATATGTTCCAGTCAGTCTTGTTTCTTATCTAAATATTTACCGATATAGTGTATTTACTAAAGAAGAAAAAATACTTTATATAGTGATGTCACAGCTTGTTTATTTTATTTTTCTAGCAAAACTGAAAAGGTTACTTTATACAAAAAGTACCTTAAGTTTGAATGCCCTGCAGCCTCCTGTAGAATTAAGGTAGGGAGTTGAACAGAATTGTTTTATTTTTCTTTGTCTTTTTAATCACTTAATTGACTAAATTGCATTGCTTTTAGTCAAATTATTGTTTTTATACACTTCATCACTTCATATAATCACTTAAAAACCTGTTACATGGTACTTTGTCTTGATAGCAGAGTTCTTTTAAATTTGTATCACCGTTTTCTTTTTATGAAGACTTAATATTTATATGAGGAAGATAACCTCTTTAAAGGAAAAAAAAAACCCACTTCATAAACCAGATAAACTGCCGATAATCAACAGTTGCTATGTAATTAGAACTGTTAACTCTGATGCGGTTAAATAACCTTATGAAAATCTGTATGGCTGCTGCTCTTAAGCGCTTAGAAGATCAAGGCCTGATTTATCTTTGAGTCATGCAGGCACCTCTGTTCCAGTCAGAATTTTCCGAAGAGTAATAGCAAGGAGAAATCGACTTAATTTCCCTGGAAAAGAGTTCAGCATTGTTATTCCCAAGACTCAAAGAATAATGCATTGTCCCATGCATTCAAAGAAAGCATGAAACTATTATTTTTCCTAACCTAAATTTTTTTTTCCTTCTTGCAATAGCTGCTCTCCATTGGTGAGAAACAAAGAGTACTCATCAGTAAAATAATTGTACAAGTGAAAACAGTGTCTGCAAAACTAGCAACTGATTTTCCTTCACTAGGCTCAAGCATAGATCTAGACAGAGTGCAAACTATAATGGAATCTATGGGATCTAAGTTGTCTCCAGGTGCTCAGCAACTCATGGACATGGTCCGATGTCAGCAGAAAGTAAGTCATTGTGCTTTTCCATAAACATAAATAGTACTGCTCTGTGACCTTACCTTCTGTAAGAGTTAAGCGTGTTCTAAACTGATTTGGTGAAAAAGATTTTTGATTTTTTTTAACCCAAACTTTCTGCCATTTTAATCCTGGTTTAGCTATTGCTATGCTTAAATAAGGAGTGCAATGAATCAAGATTGTGTACTCAAGGAATCACTGTGCATGCACCAAGTCCAGAGTTAAGAACTCTGTATCATCATCATTTTGAACTTCACTGCAACCCTCCTCTCCTTCTGTTAGTTTCTGTTGTCACTGCTTGTCAAGGATGGTGGGCATGTTCCCTGTAATGTTTGGGGTGTAGGTAGATGGGCTGGTTTGTTTCCTTTATTGTTACTAAAAGCATGTCAGCTTCAACTAAAGGGAATGTGCTCTTACAGAGCATTTATTTGATATAGATCCTAATCCTGCAAAGTAGGCTATTTCAGCAGAATCCTGAATCCACCTGATGTGAATAATGTTCAGTCTTGGGGACATAGCATGGTAAAAATTAAGTCAGTAAAACTGTTTTGTTACTTAGAGACTGACAATATAATTAACAGATATGTACAGGAGAGATCTCTTCCTGTGCTTTTCCCTAAGAGTATAATTCAGAACTACTTTTAAAATCTTTACATCACACTAGTAGAATGCTGAGTTATAAAGTATCTATTGTTATTATTGTATAATTTTGAGTATATTTTAATACTTAAATATTAATCATATTGTTTTTCTTTCCATCAGAACAGTTTACCTCTTGGAGACAAACTTAATTGGATCTTTGGGAAAAATTCGGACTTTGGAGGTGACCATGCAATAGATGGATTGTGCAGTGCAGCTATTCAGACATCACTAGATCAATCAGCCAGTGAACCTTTGCCTGTTAAAAATCATTTAATGAGTGAAACAGTGTATGAAGACTTATTTTTAAGTTGTGATCTGAATACACAGGTACCTGAAAAAGGGAATTCTCCTGATTCTGAAAGACTTACTACCCAGCAAAATACAGTTGACCTCAGAAATGATTTTAAAGTCATAGGATCTTTGCATATGCAGGAACAAGTGAGCGAAACCCCAAATGTAGCTAATCCGCAGGTGCTTCTTCCTTTTCTTCAAAACTTATGTAGTCAGGTAAATCATCTTCGGCTAAAGGATGGCAATAGGCATTTTGGTAAAAATGCAGTGACTAAAGAGGAAGGCATTCAGTGCGTTGGGTAAGTTAAGTTTGGTACTCTTATTAAACTAGTAATTTGACTATTTATTGACAAGTTTAAAAAATGAAATACATAATGTAAGCATTTTATTGTCATTAACAGCAATAGTGAGTCTTAAAATATGTGGTTTTGAAGGCTGCATGGCGATGAACATGATTACAACTCATTTTTCAGATGAGCAGCTTGAATATCGGATTTTTTCAGAAGAAATCACAACATCATTTGTTGTTACTAAATTGTGTCTTGCCTCCATTTCACCTTTTATGATTTCAAAAGAAAGTGTGGTCCTGCAATTTCATACACATCTAGTTTGTTTTCCTCATCTGTTACTACGTTTTCATTTTGACTACTTCTGCCTCCTAAATTCTTCTCTTCCTTTTTTCACCATGGTCTTTCTGCTGTGCTTAGTGTATCTCATCCCACCTATCTTTCCTGTCCCTCCTCATTTGTTGGCATTTACAGTGCAAACTTCACAGTAGTAGTAGTAGTGCACCTAGTCTGATACCAAAGGAACAACAGTGGAAATGGTGAGATGTAGGAATGTAGTGTAGGAGTCAGAGTACTAATAGAGCCTGAATATCTCCAGCTCCTGGGAAGGTGCAGTATTTTTAAAGAACGCAGATGCAAAAATAAAGAATTGCATCGTTTGTATAACTCTTGAAACACTTTAGCTGAGAAGAATAGTGGTTTAGTGGGCATGGTGGTGTTGGGTTGACGGTTGGACTCGATGATCTTAGAGGTCTTTTCCAACCTTAATGGTTCTATGAATAAAGCCTGCTATACTGACAGATTTTGACCTCTGTGTATGCTGTTGTGTTGTGTGGATTTTGTTATACGTAACCGAGCTGTTCAATGCATAATTGAGCCTTTGAAAAAATAAGGTTGAAGGAAGATGACTATATACCCTAGCATGAGATTTAAAATGTGGCAGGCAGGCAAGGTATTTGACTTGTGCTAAAAACCTAATACCATCCAAAGTTTATTGTCTAATAAATGAGATTTTACATTTAAAAGAAGTTCAAGTGCCCAGATCTTTGTCATGTCCCTGTCACTAAGAAATAGCTTATACTTATTATTATATTTGCTCTTTTCACAGAGTAGAACACAAGCCTATTTGCTCCTATTTGGAAAAGATGATTTCAAAAAAAATGGATCTGATGGAGAAAAAACTAATGGACTATATTGATCACCAAATTCAGGCTCTTCAGACGCACATAGATAATAAAATGGTTCTCTTAATGGACTTGGTTCAGAACTCAAAGCCAAACAAAATTTCACAAGCGCGCTATGATTCTAACGAAGGGCTCTCTAATGGAGAGAGATAGATGTGTATAGATAAAGGACTTCAATGTAAGTACTTCAAGGGCAATTATACTTTGCAAAGCTTAGTATTATTTATGGAGTTGTAACTGTAAAGAACCTCAGTGTTGCTGACTTACATTTTGTTACTGTAATTCTATCCACTGTTGTAGACAGTTACTGGTTTTATGAAAGATCTTAAGAATGTGTGTTTTTTACAAAATTCTTATATTTAGGATGCCCTTTGTGGCTTATTTATTTAAAGAGCATTGCTAAAAGCCATATGAAACAGTTTCCCAGTTTCAGTTTGAACAACGGAGAAATACTCTAAATAAACTGAGTTACAGCTTATCTTTTTACCTACATGTAATCAGCTCACTTCTTTGTTGTCTTGATCTTTTTTGATGTCACGTGTTACCAGTAGAACAGAATGTGGTTTCTTTGTGCTTTTGGTTTATTTTAATGGCACTCCTGTTGAAGATGTTTATTACTCCATCTGTAAGAGGAAGGATAGTACTGGCATTGCTTAACTTAAACTGTTTAAGCAGTCAGGTTTAGAGAGACAGGCTAACTTGAACCCCAGCCTGCGTTCTTTGGTTGTACAGGCACCTAAGTGAGGAATCTAGGCTCCTTAAGTGATATCTAAAACAAGACTGTCATTATACTTTCCCCTCCTAAATTAATTGAGCCATGCAGGAACAACTGAAATGAATGTATACTTAGCAGACTTGTATTTAGCCATGTTTCATTATCCTAAGAAATGTAAGTACTTCATTCGTGGTTCTTCTCAAGGGGAACCTCGTTGCCAGGTAGAAAGTGCTGGGGTAGGATCTGCTGCATTTCACCGACCTTAGGCCAGAGAAGTAGCCTTATTGCATCATATTTACTTTAACCTGTTGGGATCAGTTCTGCTGTCATTTGGGGAGGTAGAAATGTGACTCGAAGTCCCTCTTTTGTGGAAGGTCAAGCTTCATACTTCATTGTGTTTATTGCTCTTTGAATTCTGGGGTGTACCTTTTAACTTGGACTGTATAGGGACTTAATGGTAAACTCCTAAGATGATGCGCAGACGTTGGTTGTATTCGGTGTCTTAAAATGCGTTGAGCAAAAGCTATTGATGGGGAAGCAAGCGTTGACTGAACAAGCAGCATAGGCAAGTACAATCCAGGATCTTTATTTAGTCTACCTAGTATTTTCTTCTTCTCCAGGAAAACTGATGTCTTTTGAAGACTGTCAGATCTTGATGGTAGCAACCCACAGGAGTAGATTTGGAAGAGAGGGTAGTTTGCTTTGAACAGACATCTTGCAGTTGTCCCTCAGCTTAACTCATGCCAGGTGCAGTTTCAAAATGATTTGAAAAGATAAAAAGAGATTTTTTTTTTAAGAAGAAGAAAAAAGGACCTGAACTATCTTGTACTTTACAAGTCACTTTACACCTGTAAAGTTAGTTTTTTTGATGCTTTCTAAGAAAAACCCTGAGGTAGACACTTATATTGTTTTTCAACTCAGTGATTTAAGATACAGTGCTAGGTTGAGATATTTTTTTAATTACAGAAAAAGTTGAAATATGTTTCCAAGCATTGTTGTATTCCAAGGCTGTTAGTTTATTGATTTCTGGCTGGTTTGGGTGTTTTCCCTCTCCCCTCTTTGGGTGACAAATCTGAATAGGTTGACACAAATTCAAAATATCCTGAAGTAGTTAATGTGAGCTCTGGATTTTTTGGTAGCCATATCCTGCTTGGCATTTGATGTGATATTTTAGTATCACAGCTACCACAATGATAATATTTGAAATCAAAACCAGAAACGACAGAGTGTAGAAGCTGTGTTGTTGCAGGTTTGGGGTTTCTTCAGCATCTGCTTTAGCAAGGGATTCTGTATAGAGAAAAAAGAAAGTGGGATGTTTAAAGTTTTGAATACCACGTCATTTCAGTTAAAATTAAATAAGCATTTTTTCAGATATTTTGGTTCTGAGGAGTTGACCCATACCGATTGCAAATTCTGAATCTGTAGTGCCGAAGAGTTGTAAAAATTTGTGATAAAAACAATTGTGCAGAAGAGCATCGCAATGTTAATGAATTCTTTGGTATTGCTGTGGCCAAGTTTCTGCCAAGCAGTGCTGTCATTACCTTTAGAACCAGATAGATAGGAGACGTATCGCTGAAGCAAAGCTGGGCAAAAAAGAAACTCGTGGTTCTAACCCTGTCCCTTCTAATAGTTTACTAGCTGGTCCTTGGTAAAACTCTTTTTCTGTAAATCGTGAAAGATACTATGAGAATTAATCTATGTTTTATAATACTTTGAGTGTGATCTATTTGCACTTGAATCCTTTTCACATTACAGATGTGTCCAGTTTCTAGCATATGGATGCAAAAATCTTTCACTATTGAAATAAATAGGAACATGTTTAAAATGCTGCTAGAGTTCAGAGGTTAACAATTATTTAAAAAAGGAAGAAAATGTTTATCACTATTAAGAGCATGATTAATGCTAAATACTACTTAGATCTGACACCTGGAAGCATGTGGCACAATGTGCTTTTCTCAGGTGAAGCTTTGTGCTCAATAAAAGTTAGAACAACGGGTGTAGTGGGCATTACAATACAAGCCCTTTAAAATTGCTTTTCCGTATTTTGCAGTCTGTTCTACGTTAGCGCTCAGTACTCATCTAGACCACTGGAGAGCAGACTGCAAATTGTGCTAAAGAGTGTGTCAGATTGGGGCACTAAAGCTTAGTTGTCTTAAAAACAGCTTTGCAGCTCTAAGTTAAAAGAATGGTGCTTTTGATTTCTGCTCCAGTGGCTGTCCTTTTCATATTTTTGTTCTAATAGGCAATACATACAGTGTGAGGATTTAACCTAGCATGGAGTAAGTCATCTATGTTTATCATCTGGCATAGCTTTTCTGTAGTACCAACAAATAAAACTGAGTGAAACTGAGTGGACTGTTAGAAGATACACAGGTTATAACAAAGCTTGACTATGATTTGCAGTGTGCTTTTTAAGTAGTCTGTGGCTTTGAGAAATGAGCCCTGGTATGCTTCATCAAAAAATGTCACATTTGAAAATCTGAAATCTCTTGCCTTTCATAACTTTTTCTAAATACATAGTCAGATCCTGCATACCCTACTTTTGTAACTAGGAGTGAGTGCTCCTTTTTCTACTTCAAAGAACACACCTTAATACAAAAGGCCATCAGTCTGCCCGTTTGAAAAATACATCTGTGATCTCACAAAACACAAACTTCTGTTGAACCTGTTGCTCTGATGCCATGTTAGTTCTGAACTAGTGTAATTCACTTATTTCGTTAGTGGAACAAAGGTAATGGATTTACACCAAGGAGGAGCTTAATCAGGTGCTTAATTTATGTATTCCTCTTACCTGAGTGATCAGCAGACCTGAGATCTCTTTTCAGGCGGATGGGACCTACTACGGTATTAGTTTTCCACGTGTATGAAGAAATAGCTCTTTTTTGCCTGGAGATACAGCCTTCGGTACAGCGAGAGTTTGCGTTGTTGCTGTCACAAATTAAAATATCACACTGGAGATAAACCGATGGAAAGCTTTGCAGGAACCTGAAGGCATTAAATTTGAATCTTCCATAGTGTTCAAGTGGTGGGTAGGTTACCACAGTGTCATCTTTATTGCAGCTGCAACAGAATTTACAGATCTGTTAAAGTAGTCCATATAAAATAATCATTCTTGCTAACTACTGTTAACTAACCACAGTGTTTAACTAGGGCATTATTTTTACACGTGGGTGTACAATGATGTGCTTTTTTTTCCTCTTCCCAGTGCAGTGTATTGCTTGTTTTTCCTAGCTCTGTTCATGTAATGCCTTTAAATTTCTGTGAAACTTACGCTTCCATACCACCGTCTACTAAAGAAGATAAGTGGAAGAGAGACAAAAATAAAAGAACTATGGTTGACATTTAGGTTATATTTCCTCACATATTAGGAGACACTCATAAAATAATTTAGGGTCTTACCCACTTCTGATTAAGTCGTATGTTAGCGATCCAAAATCAGGTTGTGGAGATGCTATACAGGTATCAACAAAGACCAAAAGATTTGGGTCGCTGGAATGAAGACTGACTTGAGCAAAAAGAGTTTGGTTCAAGTCTACGTAATATGGGGACTGAAGTACAGGCTTGGAGAATGAATCTGAATCATAGAATGATATGCTAACATTGTATCTTCCCACACTGGTTGTGTTTTGGATTATATTATTTTTCGTTATGTAAATGGCTTCTACGGTTGAATTGTTTTCCATTTTGCATTTTGCAATAATCTGTATGCTCTTTTGACGAGTGATAATGCCGCCAGTTGCAGAGAGAGAGATGATGTTGGTGTAAGTGATGCTCTGACCTTCCTCCTGTAAAAAGAATCATGTGAAGGGCTCAGTTGTGATTAAATGAGCAGTGCGGTTGAAAACAATGGTACTAAAGTTACAAAGCTGCCGAGCTATGCTTATCAGAGGCTCAAGATACCTTTGAAATGTGGAACAGGTTGCAACCAAAAAACCATTATCAACGCTTCTCCTGTTTTTTCAAAACACTGAACCAACCCATGCAGCAAAAAGGTTAAGGAATACCGCATGGAGCGTGGAAAGTACCAAAGCTATGCTTCAGTCACCCTTATCAACATAATGCTATGAACTAGCTCTTGGGAATCTTCACATTGTAGGGTTTTTCCCTTTTCCTTGTGACTCCAGGATAAGTGCTAGCTGTATCGCTTGCAGAGAATGTTTAAGTTACATACCTAACGTGCTACTTCTGATAAACCTGGGTTGGAGAGAGAATGAAACATTTGGGGTTAATTTGTGTGGATTCTCCTGGACTTCCTTTGAAAGGCTCATTGATCATCAGGTTCTGAAAGAGGAAAAATGTTCTTTCTGCTTCAAGACTGGAAACATGCAATTAGATGAGCTAAGTGAAAGTAAATCTGCTGTTAGCTTGTTCACATGCTATTCATAAGCTGCTTTTACAAGCTCTTGTCATTCATGAGCTATTGTTAGCTTCACATAAATTTTCCCCCCCTTTACCTTTTTAGTTGTTCCACAGCTGGCTAATGGGAAGGAAAAGATCACTGAGTCTGTTACAACTGGATGGCAAGATGGTTCATTCAGCTGTAGGTGAGTTTCATTATAACCAAGGGAGGCCAGATACGACTTGCTGAGAACAATTTTCATGCTATCTGAAGAGCATGTAAGGAATGCTGCCATTGAAAGAGAAATTAAAAAAAAAAAACACAGAACAGCCATTGAAAGAGAAATTAAAAAAAAAAAACCACAGAACAAGAAACGTTAGCACAACTGTGCTGCGGTCACTTCTCGGTTGGTCTAGATCCTTGAACCTGTTGCATGGTTCTTGATTTGTCAGTCTGAAACGGCTCACGTGCATTTGAGGTCATGCAGAAGCCAGAACAAAATTTCATGCTCGACTTACATGGTATTGCTTATCTAACATTAAGCCAGAACAAAATTTCATGCTCGACTTAAATGTTAGATAAGCAATACCATGTAAAACTCATGCTGAAAGTTTAATTTTAAACCCAGTAACACAGAATGAATTGCAGCCTTTATAAAAGGGAAAAAGAATCGAACTGCTAGTGTAGAATAGTGGGTGAGGAAATTGATTTATGTCAGACATTGAGGCTGTAGAGGCTCCTTTTCCTCAGTTAATGAGAAGATGGGCATGCAAATGTGTGGAACCAATAAGGAAAATGGTCCAGCTCTGGGGGAAAGGAAATTGCAACACACCTAAACCCTGTTTGACTGACTCAGGAAAATGGTCTGCACTGGTATCTCAGGGAACAAAAACATTTAAACTAACTAGTCAAAAAAAGTTTTATCTTTACATCTCTAGGATGGTAACAATACCTGCTTTGTCCAAAGAAGGAAAAATCCAGATGTTCAGTGGTGCTGGCCAGAAAAAGGACCAAAAAGTGAAAAAACAGGCTTTCTTTCGCAGATGGGTCAGGTAATAACAGGCTCTATAGGTGAGACTAATCTGGGATTTTTGTATGTAAGGAGGGTTAATGACTACCAATAAAAAGGCTTAACTCCTCAGTATTAACCATCAGTTCTTTTCGATATTTATAAGGGAAGGGAAGAATCATATGTAAGAATAAGAAACGGCATCTTATTCATCTAGCAAGTGTACTTACTGTTGGGCTCCACAGGACCTGGCAGCGGAACACTGGTATACTGAGCAGAAAATCCTCTGTAGGAGTTGGCATAGTCTGTAGACAACACCACTGTCATAACATTTGAAGAAGATTCAAATGTGGGCTGAGCACGACCACATACTTTTCCTATTAAGCCAGTGTTAGTGGTGGGGCCATCATAGACTGCTGTGAAGTCAAATTGGCAGTTTTGGTCTAGTTCCAGGCTGTAGACAGAGAAAAAATAATTACAGGGAAATCTGAGTATAGAGAACATTATCTGCACTGGATCCTCTATCCAGTATGAGCAAAGCATCTGATGAATTCCAGTCGACTGAAATAAAAGAATGGAGAATAAAAGAACACGTAAATAGACATTATTAAAACCAAACAAAAGGCAAGAAATGCTTAATAAGAGCATGATTCTGCTCCCATTGAAATAACAAATGCTTTGCTATAGCTCTCAACAGAAGCTGGATCAGCTGTTTTTATAGCTCTGATACTGTGCATACTGATTTTTTTTATATATATATATATAAAAAAAATAATCCTGTATCTTAAAATAAAGAGCTTTTAAAGTGTAGGGCTGACTTATGCGGGTCTCTGAAACCTCTTGTGTGTCACCAGAGGAAGGCTCTTGCACTTTTTATCAATCTGCATGAGAGCTTATCTGGGTGCTTGCCACCCTTGATGAAAAGCTGTACTGTGGTGGGTGGATACCTCCAGAGCAACATCTCTGTTCCTGAATCAGCAGATGGACCCTGGCCAGCACTGGTTCTCACTGGTGAGAACATACACCACACTGTGCAGAGCTCGTCTCAGAGGACAGTGATCAAGGTAACGACTTACTGTAGAATCCTATACATTCCATACTGAATTCTTATACAGCATTCTGCAGTCTGAGTATCTCAAGAAATGTTCTTGAAGATACTGCTCTTTGAATTCCCTTGGCCTTGAGACTTTCGTCCGTGCACAGTGTCAACTGATGTAGGGAAAGCCAAAAAGGCTACCAGCCCACTACATATGGGAGGCCAACCTGATAAAGAGCAGTATGAGTCAGGAAAGTCCATGCCAGCCAGTGTGGTTTCCTTATGCCGATGCATCCATTAGCGTTTATACTTGGACGTATTTAAGCCAGTGCTATGCTATCTTCTTTGTCCAATGGCCAGCAATACTGAGGAAGGCGTACTTTGGGCAATATTTGCTTTATTCTTCTTTTGGCCCTCAGTTCTAAATTGCAGTTGCACTGCACATGATGGTTTTAAGTAAGTTCATTATGTAGCGAAAACTTTATTTATACTGATGGATTTAAATTCAGATCATTCAGGTTAGCTTAAAATGGACCTACACCTCATGGCTAGTCACCTGAAATGCTTTCTGCGTTTCACTGACTGGCACTGCAGTAGCTATAGGGTAATGTGCAGTGATGTGGAATGCATTGGAATTTATTACAGGAGTCAGCAAAACACATTTGTTTTAAAAGTGTATAGATGTTCTAAAAGTTTGAAAGCACTTCTGCTTCCTGTGTTTGAAGTAATGCCTTTAAACTGAATGAAAAAAGAGTAATAGAGCATTAGGGCATTTACTCACAAAAAATCCTGGTACTGTAAGTTTATCTTCGAGTTTTTTGCTGTTCGTATGTGCCAGACGCAGTATGTAAATTCAGGGTAAGGTTTTGGGTAGTTGGGGCTGGTAAATGTCCCATTGGGACCAGTTAATTGTCCCCCACAATTTTCAACTTCTGAAAAGAAGAGTAGATATATTGGGAACATAATAGTATCTATAATGAGCCATAAAAAATAAATTAAAGATCTAAAGTTATGTAACGCAGTATTGTTTCTTTAGGATTTCATTCTTTTGGAAATTATTAAAGGTACTAAAGATAGAACTTCTATAGAGAATTTCAGGTCAGGTGGATGTTACAAAATGAAGCTTATTGTCACTATGGTATATCTGCAAGGTACAGTGTAATGGCATCTGAGATGGCTGTAGATGAGTTAGCTTTGATACTGTGAGCAATTTAGTTATATCTACATTTCAGGTAAATTAGGTGCCGTCTTGAAAAACTGGTAATGAAGATGCTATGCCAGCCAAAAGAAGCCCCGAGAGACTATACATTAGAGAAATCTATGAGGCCTTGGTCATGATCTATATGGAAGTGTGGAATCTTCAAGTTTAAGAGATATTTTACTTGATAGACAAGGGCAAAATAAAATTGTCAGTGGAAACCTCAGAAAGACAAATGTAGAGTAGAAATAGGGCACAATTTTTCAGCAGCAAAGTTAAACACTGGAGCAGCATAACTAGGATGTGGTAACTACTCTGTAAAATTGAAGCTTTTAAGAGCTTAATACCATGCCACTCTGATCAGCAGAAGCAAAGGGACTAGTCACAAGCCAAGACTGATTTTGTCCAAGCTATTCTTACATTTTAACCAAAAAAAAAAAAAGTAAGGAGCTTGTTGAATAAAAACCCTTACTGACTTCAGTGACCTGTACTCGGCAGGACTAGATGGTCATGTTCTCTTTCAGGGTAAATGCTATAATATTTGCAGACTCAGCAAATTCAGTAGAAGCCTGTAAGTAAAAGTAGAGTCCCATAATGCCTCCTTTGCAATCGTTTTTCTGAGTAAAATTGCACTTTTTAGGCTTTCCAGCAAGTGCACTATTGTTTTGCTGCCTCCTTCCTTCCACTGATTTTCCCCCACACCATTCTCTAAGGGCAGAAGAACTGAGTGAGACTAATTAAAGATTCTGTTAATAGTTTCTAATTGCTGTCCTAAACTTTCCCTTAATGGGAAAGTTTCTTTTAATGGTGCAATTCAAATGGTATTTAATGGCTGCATTAAGTTCTGACTTACTTGTTTCTGGTGAAAAGAAGTAGTAGAAGACAAAGAAGTTTCGTGTGAAAGCCACGGAGTTTGTTGTTATGAGAAAAGTTAAACTGTCTGATGATGATTGAAGTACTGGAACTGCATCAGTGTCATTACATACTTGTCCAAGAACAGGCGAATTAGTTGAGGGACCATCATATATTGTAATACTTTCTGTTTTACAGCTTGAAGAAGGAGCAAATCTATTGAAAAAACACAGTGAGAACTACCTAAGCTCACTGATAGATATACAGGCTCTTTGGAGTCCACAACACAGATTCAGTACAGAGAAATATTCGGAGGCAATATTTTTCTGTGCTATATTCTAAGGGAATGAAACAGTACAAAAGCATCTGGAGGCAATACTTACTTAAAATAGGAGAAAATGAGCCTAATTGTTTGATTTGCATTCCTCTGAATTTGCCAGACACAGTTTGCATTTGCATTTAGTTCAATCCTTAATGCTTTGTTGAGCTCATGAAGTGAAGCGCCACAACGAGGTACGCCTACTGAAGAACAGCAAGAACAAAAACCAGCTTTCAAGGATATCTCTCATATTTTCTCTTGCAATAATGTTTCATCCTCCAGTATGCAAAAACTCTGGGACAGTCCATCATGGAACAGACAGGCAAAATGTTGTACTTTTTTATTTTAATTAATATTACTGCAGTTTATGAAAGAGTCAAATAGTATTAATATTACTGCAGTTTATGAAAGAGTCAGATAGAGAGTATTAGAAAATACCGTTTATCCTCGTTTTCCTAGTAGCAGAGAAAAGGGGAGTTAGGTGAGGCCAATGGCAAAACTGGAACTGCGAAGTGATATAGGATGCCTCAGCCGCTCCCTTCTGCAAGGTTAGTCACCGCAAGCACCTCAAGCCTCCTGTCTTCCCCCTACACTGAGTTCAAGATCATTGAATCCAGTTCTGAGGTTCAGCCCTTGACGTAAAAGCGTTTGGGAACCTACAGTCAGGGCATCAAAAAGGCTTTTCAGATTTGAGCTTCTAAAGGACTATGTGTGGGATTACTGTATATTTACTGCTGCGTACAATTCTGATCCTCCATCTCTAAAAGGGTACTGCTAAACAGGAAAAGCTTCAGAGAATGGCAACGATGATCAAAAGTTTAGAATAGCTTCCAGACAAGGAATAAGTAAATAGACTGAAGCATTTCAGGTCAGAAAAGATAACTAGGGGGAAAAGGAGGTGCTAGAGGTCTGTAAATTCATGAAGAGGGTTAATATGAGATATTCCAATACAGTAACTCGGTGGCCTGGAAGGAAACCCGTAAGTTGTGGTTTTGAAACAAACAAAAGGAACTGGCTCTTTGCACGTGGATCTTTGCTGCAGGGTGATGTGGATGGTAAAAGTAAAACATAAAACAGGTCAAGTCCATGAAACAAAAAGCCTTTGGTAACTATTAAACACAAAGGTAGCACTTCCTCTCTGTTTCAGAAATCCTGAACCACGTTTGTTGGTGACTGGGAGAGTATTCTGGGGAAGTATTCTTGCCTGAGCATCCTCTGTTTACTGTTAGTAACAGTACACAGTTTTAGGGTTTAGGATGCGGGGCTAGCTGGACTTTGACTCAGCTCTCTTTTGAAAAAACACAAACCAACCATGGTGACATCACTAACATCACTTAATGAACGTTAATAAGTTATGAAGTAGTTGCGGTAATGGCTATTGTATAGGAAACTTTAGAAAAAGTTTACAATCCAGTTTGAGCATAAGATCTTCTTACTACTTTAATATTAATCTAAAAATAATGGTCTAAAACAGCAGGAAGAATTTCCTATATAGTGTATGCAGTCCCAGATAAAAAGGTCAGGCTTTCTGATGAACTCCAGAGGGAAAAGAAAGGTTTAGGAGAGACCTTTCTTGTCACATATGAAACTTCCCAATCGTAAGAGCATTACAGGGTCAGCTTTGCCCTACCCTCCCTCTGCATCCCTCTGGGCTGTTCCTGTAGCCAGGCACCACTAGAGCAGCTCTGCAGCAATCCTTCATTATCCTATGGTAGCTACCCACCATTAATCAGGTAAATTGCTGATTTGAGCACAAATGACTGTCTATTGCTTCTGATTGAAAAAAGGACAAATGAGCAAATCTCTCTTGAAAAGCAACCGTTTCCCAATTAAGTCACTTTTTTCCTGTTACTCCAATGCAGTATTAATTTTTAAATGCAAATTTCCATTCCAGTGTAAAATATCTTCAGAATCAAGTTCTTAAGTTAAAAATTTGCTATAGGGAGTCATACATTGCAATTTTTTTTTGTTATTTACCATTTTTAACACTTGCTGGCACATTCGGGTGTTGCTATTGTGCAGCAGTACATTAAAATGAGATGCACTTTTAAAGATATATTTAACATTCTTCCCTTCAGTTGCCTGTAAAATACCTATTGTGCAAAAATTACTAAAATTTCACAAATGAAAAAAAGACTAGTTTTCCATACCTGTGGATTCTATTGACTTGTCTTCAGCAAAAGCTAGAGCTGCTACGAGAGGCAGGAGGAGGAACTGTCTGAGCACCTGCATTTTGATGGCAGCTGGGGAGGTTAGGCTTTTCTAACTTTTATACCTCCTGCTATTTCATAATCTTGTATTGCATGGTATCATGGAGGGAGGGCTTAATCTCTCAGTTACTATTTCTTTTTAACAGATATAAATGAGAAAGTAACAGGTGTGCCCATTTTTTTAACATGTACTGCGTGGAGTAAGTTTAACTGTGCTTTTGTCAGCTCTCATGGGTTCAGAGCACGTTTTTCAGTTGATTTCGTTGAGCGTCTGTTTGGGTGTGTTGACATGAGCAGGAATATTCTGGAAGGGACTGACAGACTTCCTTGGGAGATACATTCAACAGTTTGCTCTTAGCACTGGTCAGCAGGAGCTTGGTTGTCCTGCCTTCATTTTGGCACCTGTCCCTTTAGGTTACACTGGGCAAATCATTCCCTGTCCTTGCTGAGGATTCCTCAGGTTGTAAAGTGCGACTATCATAATAGAGTTGTCATGAGTAATAATTTCCTCTTGCTGAAACATTCATGGATGAACAAGGCCAGATTCATGTTAGTCACAGATTTAAAAGAAGGTTTGCACTGCAACCACTTCGCAGATAAAACTTTCTTAGTCCCACAGTAGAAACTACAAAAATAATCAGCCTTTCCTTCCCGAGGTAAGGAGACAAGCACAGTCCCAAAAGCCTCAATTCCTTCTAGCATGAGTCTAATGAGTATCTGTTCCAATATGTTTATGTGACTTTGTCTGTCTTTGCATAAGGACCAAAGCTCTTGAAATCCAGGGTATTTCCTACTGCAGCAGCAGATACCCAATCTTTAAAGCTTCTAGAGGTTGTGATAGTGCCAGTGCCACAGATGTGCTATTACCCTGACCTTGGTTAGGTGCGGTACCTGCGTGGTGTGCGAACAGCCAGGGTTCATGCAGGAGCCTGGCTGTGTGATTCTTTCCAATACAGAGAGCCGGTATCCCACAGCTGTGCAAACAGGTGTTCTTTCAAGGTTACTAGTAAAGTCAAATTGCAACACAGACCTTCTTGAAATACATCCAGGTACTTTTCTTGCATAAAACCAATTTTTTTTGTACAAACCTGTTTTTTTTCTTTTATAAACAAACTGAAATATGATGCATCTGTAATGATCCTGTATTTCCAATCTCAGACCTATGCCTCCTTTAAAACAATTCTCTCTGATTTTTAACTCACTTTAAGGACTTGGAATGCAACCCTCTCTTCATCATGACAATGTACTTATACTGCCTTTAAACACGGAGGCATTGAATACACGTATAAAGATGTTGCATGGCATTTGAATTCCTTTTACTTCTGGAAATGCTAAATTTGCATTTACTCTGTATAGCCTTTTCATTTTTTTAAACCCACACACATACTTGCAAGGAATTTTAAAATGCTAACATTCATTTTGCATGCATTTAATGTGTGAACTGGTGTGTGGAGCCCTGCCAATCAATGCTGTGTCCATCAGAACCAAGAAAAAAATGCCTGTGGCTATGATAGCCTGGTAATTTACTCTGGTAGTTACAGGTTGGTAGTCAAACTGTTTGTATATAAACGGTTAGGAAATTTTCTTGCGCTGGAGTTGATATTAAGGGACTGGACCCCTAAGTAGTGGCCCAGTGTTTCTGAAGGGCTGAGCCAGTGCTGGCTGGCAGCTACACCTGCACAGACGAGTCTCTGAGCAGCTGTGTTGCTGCTCCACATACTCGCGCTACAAATCTGAGTGTTCAAACTGTTTTCAGATCTTGTGTGTTAAGCCCATGCTCAGATAGTGTGATGTGTTCAGATATTGGGTGATGCCGAAATATTAATGGCCCGCTTTGAATTCCCTCTCCTACCTCAAAAGAAAACGTCCAACAAGTCTTCGTGAAAGTCCTTTTAGGATGAGAATGACTGTAGGAAAGGTGTTTTAAAATAGCAGATCCTCAGGACAAATTAGTGTGCATTTTAGTACAAAGGAGCAAGGAATCAGCTGTTGTGACACTTATTTACAGGCACTTTCTCTCACTGCCTGCAGCTGAGTGCAATAGCAGGGAAAATGTGATTTCAAGTACTTTAAATCATTACCTGTGAGAAGCAGAGCAGCAGGGTTACGAGTGTGATGGAGTTTTGTCTGAACTAAGTATGATCAGGAAATACTCTGGTTCAGGACGGCCATTACGGTCCTGCAGGATGGGGACTTTGGCTGTGAGCCTGCTCAGCCCATGCCAAGGCTTAACCACCAGATAAGCGATTTGATCTGGAGCCTTCACAGCAGATCTGCGTGATTTGGGCATTTGAGAGCTGGCTAAGTTATTCATGGAGAAGCTGAGTTTCAGAATGACTCTAATGCCTTTTTTGAAGGGATGAAGCATAAAAGGAAAAGTTGCTGAAAAAAGTGGATTTTTTGTCTTGTGTGGCACAGACTCTAGATGCTAGGCATCCTTATTCAATACAGAGCATCTTGTTATGAGTTTGAGTAATCTGCACATACTCGCCATGTGGAAACAGAGTATTGGCCTTAAAGATGCTTTTCACACTCAGGCCAAGTTCACCAGATTATCAAAATTTAATCCATCTCTTTCCCTGAGATGACTGCTGTACTCCTGTACAATTCTGCAGTCGACAAGGTATTTTTCTCTATTATGAACTGAAAATTATTAATTTCTATTTTTTTCACTAAGTCATTCCAAATAGGACAATTTAACATTAAAGTGCAGAAACACTTTCTTGGCTAACAGTGATATAATTTGAACAGACTCTTTAAGAAAAAGGATGAAGCAAATGCTTTAATGAAGTAAATTTAGATGTAAAATTTTTTATAGTTTTAATCTCTGGTAATAAAAACTGACATATGGAAAGATTATAATAGTTTATAGGTATTGCAGGATTATATCTCAGTACACGTACAATATTTTTTCCAAATATTTTTGAGTTCCTATAATTGCTCAGACATTATTGGTTACAAGGGATGATTATCCTTTGATTTATGTCTCTTCTTGAGCTCAGAAAGCAGCACTGTGACATGTGCATCTGTAAGGCGGGTTAATCTTCCTTAAATGCTATTTGGTATTTGAGCTATTTGGTACAATGGAGAGAACTGGAAGAACTGTGAGAGGGAAACAAAGTCTTGATGAGAAAAATCAGCCAGCTGATCCAATTACTCTTTGTCACTGAGAGTATTTACTGAAGTTTAAGCTTTTACAAATCTGGAATACAGATCCAAAAGGTTTGAAATTAAGGAACAGAAATACAGTTAAGATTAAAATACCTTTAGATTTACACCCCCTAGTACAATGTATTTTTAGAAAATAGTAGCAGATGTGCAACACACTGATCATGTATATGAGTGATCAACATAATGTTATGGTTAGAAGAAGCATTATTGGGACTATTTGCGGATGATAATAATGACATCATCACTTGTGCTTCTTTTGCCTCTCATCATATAGCCCTGGTAGCGTTGGGAAGGATAATTGTATCTGTTGCATGCTAATATTTTGCACTGTAGGCAAACTCTTGGGTATGTGAGACCTCTGAACTTGAACTGGACAATCCTCTTGCCTGGTGAATAGTAGTTCCTACAGGTTGGGTCCCTTACACACCTGGGAAAAGAAAAAGGAAAAAACCCACATATAATTGTCATACAAAAATTGTGACATGGTCACTAAGCTCATTTCTTTCATTGGTTACAAGAAATTTTCCTTCAGGAATTTCTAACTGTGATGTTATCACAATTCACAGCACAGAACTGAACACATGCAACTATATGGAATTTAAGTATGTATGTTGGTATAATATGTAACACAACATATATAAATATCACACATGTATGTAAATGTATAAAAGTAAAGCACCTGATGGAATTTTAAATATGTGAGAAAGAGTTACTGTGTAGGCCTGTTATCTTTCCAAAGTTATTTTTTATTTCAACCTTAGAATTTCTGAAGAGCTATGAAGAAACAATTCCATATCCCAAATCAACCAAAACCCCTTTAATCAGATGCTTCATCCTTCCCTAAACTTTTTATATAATTTGTGAAATACCTTCTCAGAATTTATACCAATTATTCTTCCCTAGCAGAATATTATGGTGAATTAAACATAAAAAGCCAACTAACAAAACTGTGTGTTTTTGTCCTAATAGCTAGTTCATTTAAAATCCTGCTGCTTCTTGCAAGCAGGTAACTCAAATGTATTTCAGGACTGTGTATCTTTGGTGTATGTATTTTTTTGTTGACCATATGAAGTCAATCACGTGAGGAATTATTTTGAAATGGTTGTTGAGATATTTTCCTTACCCTCTTCTGACTAAATCAGATGCCGCAGTCGTAAAGTCACGAGGATTTGGAGAGACCACACGTGTCTGTAAATAGCATCAGATTTGGCTCTGTGCTGTAGAGGGTAGCATGAACAAACAAATCTTGGTTTGGCTGAACACAGTATGGTGAAGCCCTCACCGAATTTGAAAAAAGATGGTGGATCATAAAAGGCAAACTTGACAATAAATCATCTAGATGGAGTTTCCTGGTATGGAGGCTCTATAACACTGGGTATTGTTTGGGCATCAGTGTTCCTGCGTGTTTTGCAGTCGTGGTTTGGCAAGAGAATGCGTATTTCTGCTGTAGAAGTTGCCAGAAATGGATCCTTCCACTGTGTTGGAATAGGTCATGGCTTGACGGGCTGTGAGTTTAGAGCTGCAAAGTATGGATGAAACCTTTTCCTGAATGTCACTAGAAAGTCAGGCTAGCTAAGGGGTAACGGGACTCAGCTGTCCGTGCTGGGAGGATCCCAGACCACCCGAGGTGGCCCAACTACAGGTCCCAGCTGAGGACATTGCTGAGTTGTGAGAAAGTCTGCAGAGCCTTGTGAGATAAGAGAGGTGAAATTACTGACGAGTCAATTACTGTTGATTTGGGTTCAGTTAGTAGCTCAAGGACTCAAGAGGGAAAACACCAACATGGAGAGGTAGAAAGTCTTAAAGGGAAAAAACCCATGGAGAATGGCAGCTGAGCACAGTGGAGGGTCT